AATCATAATATAGAGTTAGATACCAAACTTAATGACATAAATTCATGAAATAGTAGTTCAATAAAATTTTGAATGTGAGTCAACAAACAAGATAACATGGCCTTTCACCCGTGACACCTCTCGACAGGGTTAATGGTTACAACTACAAGTCAATCTATACACTGAGAAGCTGGACCCAAATATTCTTTAGACAGAAAACCTGCAGTACTAAATCATTTAATTCAAACTACTACGAGATCTTGTAAGATAGAATGCTAATATATGCCACTGATTTACAGTCAGAAGCTTTCATTTACAGAGAAACAAACTGTAGTAAGTAAACATATGTATTTTCTTGTGTATCTATCAACATGAATTACAGTTTTGATTGTGAACAACCAGAACTAAAGCCAGTAGTAACAATTCAGAGTGGTGTCTGTTTCTTTACACATATCCAAAGGTGTGCAACTGGTTATAGTTTGTCAACCTATCAACTATTGGCAACTGTACACTGTGCATAGGTAATGTGCCATAATTTTCACAAAATCGAGTAAATAATAATTAAGAACAACACTGGTGGTCTCATAATAACAGTTTCTCTACTTGGAAACAATTACAAGACAGGCACTAAAATCAAGATTGAAGTTTATTGTTTGTTTAATAATTGTTTCTTACAGTTTCAGCTTAAAAATGTTTATAGATGCAAATATAATAAAGAAAAACAAAATTATAATCAGTCATATAATTTAATCATGTTTTAAAATGCCAATATATCTAAATGTAATAGACATAAAACTACAGCAGCTACACAACGTGATACACACAGATCAAACTTTTTTTGTTACTAGTTTAAGGAATGTATCAAATATAATAGAAGGTAGGTACACAAGACTGGAAAAATTAATACACAATAAGATAATGTTTTGTTTGAGCTTGCCAGTAAAATTACAAAAATTCTCAAAGAAATATCTTTTAAGGGAAAAGATTCTACAAAATATACGTAACTACTTAGGCTGAGTTGAGTCACTGAGGAAGAAAATCAAGATGCCCTAGTGATTGTTCTAATATAATTTTGAATTTGAATTTATGCTATACAAAATTAAAAATATAATAATGTTATAGCATGTTTTATTATTGGGAGGGTTGTTTTGAATTAAATAGTAAAAAAAATGCCAAAGCCAGTCCATGTAATGATAACAAACAAGTTTATTTCATCTTTAATGTTTTCTAAAAGCTACGTTCACTGGTAGGCTTAACTTCACAAACAACATTTCAAAAGAAACTCCAAATCTAATGTATACCTAACTTACTTATATGACTTCCCTGCAGAAGTTCTCCACTAACTGATCACTAACTAGTCTGATATTTATATTTTACTCTTATTTCTACATTTATGAAATTTCTAGACATATTTTATCATCATTATGCAATGACACAATCTCTATAGCAAACAAACACCTAAATTAAAATATCAAAAATATAGCTTACAACAATATTTATAAGATCATAACAGAATTTCAATAGCTTCTCTCTTGCAATAAAAAACAAATTTGCTTTTTTCTACATAAAATCAAATAAAAGAAACAATTAATTTTTAAGCGGTATAATACAAACATTTGGTATTGCATATGAGCATGAAAAACATGTGGAACTGTGAAGAATGTTTATACTACTTGTGGAAGGAAGGCTGAGGCTCTAAACTTCTAGGTGTAGGTGGTAGTTTATCCTCTGAATGGTCTTTAAAACAGACTCTTGCTATTTTCAGTATTTTTATACTCATTTCAGATGATTTCTCATAACTCACTGGTCTAAGAGTGATGGCTGTTTTCACTAACGTGAAAATAAGATGATAAATATTACTTTGAAACTAAAATAGACTTCTATTTTTGTCTAGAAAGCAAATCTAGCAGCTTGTGGTATGTTGACATAGCGTGAACAGTACTTAGGTTTATGCAGGGCTTCACTGGTCTTATTCATCATTTTTTGGTTTCAAAATATTTAGTATATATGTGTGTTTATATTTTTCACTGGGTTCAAAAATTACATTAAATGTTATGTGTATATTTATGTACATCTGGTTAAAAACCAAGAATAAAAGGCAGTATTTTTTCTTGATTTTAGGTCTTATTGTTAAACAATTTAACTATGATTTTTTTCCTCAAAATAACAACTGATACTGTTCTTGTGAATAAATGATATAGTAATAATGAAGTTTGCCTAATATTTGTCCCAAGTTTCCTAGAGAACCTTATTTTTTTTATCTTCTGTAATTATAGCTTTAAAAAGTGCTGAAAGACCAAACACTTAAGAGAAAATTTACAAAACTGACTAAAATTATGGAAAGACTTAAATATTTTTTGACAATTATAAGAGTGTTTAATATCCATATTTTTGGTTCTAATTTCTGGCATTTCTACAAAGTTTTAAGTTGATTAGTCTAGAAAAGTAAACCAAATAATATATCCATATGACTGGCCAGATTCTGTTTACACTTCACGTTATTTACCAATACAATGTGGGGGTACTATGTGCAGTTCTAGCATTTCAGTTCAACAATTTGACATGCCTATATAAAATTATTAATAACCACCTGCAATCTTAAAACTTGATATTTAGTGGTGACGAATATAAGTTACATTATGCAAAATACTGGAAATTCACATATATTCTACATCAAACTAATCAAATCATAGATAAAAATCTGTCTTCTTTGTTTGCACATAAAGTCCTAAAATGTCTTACAACTGGCTGCCAGTCTAATATAACATATTTCTATAATATTCACAACACAAATCCAAATAACATAATTATAGATATTTGCAACTGAGCATATCAAAAATAGGTGAGCTACTAAAAGTTATAAGTGACTAAACCTATGATTACGTAAGTTACAAATGATGACCTACACAACCAAGTTATACTTAATATGAAGCATTACCTCACTGCACTAGTCATCATGCGTGTCTTTATGAAGTACTGAAAGGTTACTCCAGTTTTGACCTGCTCTACATTACTTTCACCTCAGTCTAACTAGAACATTATATTATACATGTACAACACACCTATTATCTATCACACACTTTGTTCTGGAAAGGAAAAAACAGGTAGAACCAAAAATCATTGTGTTCTTTTTTTATTAACTGTACTATTTAAACACTGTTTTAATAATCAATAAAAACAATGCAAAGAT